TTGTGTACTTGAGTGCCGGTTTTGTAAATGTGTCGTGTACATGTTTATTTATAAACGTATGTGTTCCTTTTCTTTCGTACGTGTTTATTGATATATCTGTACTGTAGTGTTTTCGGACGGTACTAGCTCTTACTGCCAATATAGGAGTATTACATATATGTTTGCAAGCAATTTAATTTTAAAATTTTACACACAAACTCACACACACATTCTCATTTTCAATCTCAAACAACAACAACTTTGAACAATGTTTTTTTTTACTCTCAATTTTATATGATTTTAAAATGTTGGCAAACTTCAAAAAAAAAATCATGGCCGACGAGTTGAGAGAACCTTACTATGTTTTTATCATAAATCATTCTTTCAATTTGACGACCATGATTTTTTTCTGACGCTTGCAAGCATTTTAAAATCATATGAAATTGAAAATAAAAAATTAAATTGTTCGGAATTGTTGCTGTATGAGATTGAAAATGAGAATGTGTGTGTGAGTTTGAGGTTTGAGTTTTTAAATTATAGGATTGTTTCATGGTACATAATTACAAGTATTGTCTTCCCAGAGAGTTCTGCTTCACATCGAAATTCGTGCTTCCTTATTTTCATTTTGACGCAGTTCAATGTTGATTCTTTTACTTTTATTTGGCTTTGCTTTTTGTTTTCGCTCAATTTAATTTTCATAATTTTTCAAAACAAAATAAAAAAACGTTTGAAATGAAGTGTGCCATACCAATTTTGAATTTATTTACTAAGCAAATGTTTTTTTCGGCTCTTGCACATTAAAAAAATCCTCTGCTAGAAGGTTTGCTTAAAAAAATTGTACATTAGGAATGTTAATTCCGGGCTTCCGGGCTCCTGGGATCCCGGAATTTTTAAGGTCGCGAAATTCCCGGGATTCTTGGCAAGTAATCCCGGGATTTTCGGGATTTGTTATTTGCACTGATGGCAATAATATAAACTCCTTTTCTTGACCAGTATTTGGCTATATCTCTTTTTTTATTTAATAATAAAATTTTTTATAAATGTCTAGCTCATTATACATATAACACCGAGCGATAGTAATTTTGAAACACAAATATCAATATATTCGCGAAACCATGGGCCAAATATAGTAAAATTGCCTTTTAGTTTTTCACTCTGACGTCAGTAATTCAATAACGATTTAAAAAATTCAGAGAAATGTGCTCAGAGAAGAAGTATGGGTATAAAATTAAGGAGGAAATCCTGTAGAATTTAAACAGATTCAAGTTTCTAGTGCAGAAGGGCTGGTAAATATTGAAAATGACATTTTAAAATTTTATCCTTGAAATTTCGCAATATTTGTTTTTGAAAATATTATATGTTAAGGGCTTATGTAAACTCGATAACATCCTCGAATTTCGTTCTTCTAACTTTGTCAGCTTAAAAATTACCTATTCGTCCTTGTGGATGCAAAAAATTTAAATTTTTTAAATTCTAAAGAAATTTCCTATTGCATTTGTCACAAATATTTTTAACCTACATTGAATTGAATTTTTTAATCATTTTTAGAATTAATCATATCTTTGAAATTACAAAGTCCTTCAAAATAAATCCTGCGGATTGTTATAGGCTAACAATAATCTCGATACACAAAAGGGGCGTGAAACCTCCCATACAAACCGAGTTTTTCGTACTCCATATATCTGGAAATGTGCATCTGGAACTTGGTATGGAGATATGTGAAATCGATCGCATACTTTTGGAGAAAAATTGGAGCTATTGGAAAAATGGGCGTGGCACCTCCCATACAAACCTAACCTTTCATACCTCCGGAAATGTTCATGAAATATTTATGGAACTTGATATGGAGATATGTATATAAAATCCATCGCATACTCTTGGAGGAAAATTTGAGCTATTGGAAAAGGGGGCGTGGCACCTCCCATAAAAACGAATTATTCATAATGCATAACTCTGGAAGTGTTCATGGAAGAGACCTGGAACTGGGTATTGACGTATATGAAATCGATCGCATACTCCTGGAGAAAAATTGGAGCTATTGGAAAAGGGGGCGTGGCACCTCCCATAAAAACGAATTATTCATAATGCATAACTCTGGAAGTGTTCATGGAAGAGACCTGGAACTGGGTATTGACGTATATGAAATCGATCGCATACTCCTGGAGAAAAATTGGAGCTATTGGAAAAGGGTCGTCGGACCTTCCATGCAATACGAATTTTTCATACTGCATATCTCTGGAAGTGTTCACTGTACAGCACTGGGGCTGGCATATAATCCGAATTTTTCATAATAAGTATCTCTGGAAGTGTTTATGGTAGAGTACTGGATCTTTATACCGGCGTGGCAACTCCCATACAAGTCGAATTTTTCTTATTGCATATCTCTAGAATTGTTCTTAGTAGAGTACTGGAACTTGGTGTGGAGATATATGAAATTAATCGCATAGTCATGGAGAAAATATGGAGCTATTGGGAAAGGGGTCGCGGCACCTACCATATAAGCCGGATTTCATACTACATATCTCTGGAAGTGTTCATGGTACAGTACTGTAACTTCGTATGGAGATATATGAAATGAATCCCATACTCATGGGGGAAAATAGGCTCTTTGAAAAGAGGGCATGGCAAAGTACTGATGTTTACTTATCTTTGAATATGAATGTGTATATAATTCTCTTGTAGGCATGTTTGTGAGTGAAATCCTAAACGGCAGGAGGGATTTTAACAAAGTTTTGTGTGTGTGTTTGAATGGGTCTGTGGATAGTTTACTTTCGCAATTTAATCCGCCAGTTGGCGCTGGAATTGAGTTATTACTAAAAATTTTTTTATGATCCGATTTGGCGAATATTCAAAACATGTAATGGAAACGGTAAAGGCAGTCCAATTGCAAAACAGAGCTGCCAGGTGGTGCTGAGGTCGAATTATTATTAAAAATCGACAAGTAAGAAAAGGTGCCGTAAATATCAGGCTAAACCGACCTATTGAACCATTGAGTATATCGAACTCTCGTGTGTTGCGATTGGCCCAATGGATGTGATTTGCCAATATTATTATGCGTTAAAGCTTCATTCGGAGACACCAGGGTTGAGTTGTGCAGTGGTAAATCTCAAATCACCACCTGTTTCACAGCCAGTTTCATGAAAGCAATTTAATGAAAATTTATTTTTTTACTTGAATTTAATATGGAACCGGACAGAAAAAAAATAATTTTTCACTTAAATTGTTTTCATGAAACTAGCTTTTAAGGTATTTCATCTGAAATAGGTCTGTGTATGTACATACATATATAGGATTTTTGTTGAACAATGATACGCACCCATTTTGAAATTCCCACCAATTATAAGATAAAGTTTCTAGGGCAGATTCACTATAGATCCGGATCATTGTTGCCGCCAGGGAATTAGGCGGCAAACGGCTAATGAAAATTACTAACAATTTGTACTAATTTACTTCGTTTTTAAAAAGCTTGTCAGTGAATTCAGCGTACATGCATACTTGGATAGGTATGTATATGTATGTATGCAGATATGTAAATGCCGGTTTGCTATTCGCGCGACAAGCTTTTTTAAAAACGAAGTAAATTAGTACAAATTGTTAGTAATTTTCATTCGAGTTTGAATAACTCCTTTCTCTAAATGGCTTTTAGTAACTTTAACGAGACCTTAACTTATTTTATTTTATTCATTTTAGTGCAGTTTTGACAAAATCTTGCTAAAAAATCTTTTGTTACACTACTTTATTTTACTCCTTTCATTGTACATCTTAAATAAAAGCTTGTTTTTAAAAAATATTTTTTTTTACATATTTTATTTAACACTTCATGCTATTTAATCGGAGCGTTTTCGACAGAAGCAATATTTTGATATGAAGCAAAATGGCTTTGAAAGCTAATGTAATTGCATTTTACGGAAAACTATTGCCATTGAGCTACAATCACTTCTTGACCTTAAAAAAATTGGTTAAAAATAGTGTTATTCGAAAAAAAACATGCAAAATCTGACAGATAGATTAAAAAAAAAACATTTTTTGTATTTTTTATTATACTAATATTAAAGATTTTGAGATGAGAAACACGAAACACTATTTAAAAAACGGAAAAAAATGTCAACCCCTCAATTTGAAAAATGCATTACATATTGCATTTTTTATGATTTGTATGCAGCTGTGCGTTTTTCACATAATTTTATATCCTTTGAAAATTAAGTCAGTTTTAGGTCTATTCAAGACTCCTAGTTTTAGCCAAGGTAGAAGTCTCTAGACCCTTTGAGACCTAAATTATTACGATTCTGAAGATAAACTTCGAAATTTCATTCATAATTTTACGGAATTTTTTTTTTCTAATTTCGTAATTTGCTGTACTAGCAGAGCCGAAGTTTGGTTTAAAATTGTTATAACTTGGCTCTCAGAGAGCCTAGAGGCTTCTACCTTGGCTCAAATTAAAGGTCTTGAATTGCACGTATTGTTCGAGGGATATAAAATTGAGTGAAAGAGGCACAGCTGCATGCAAATACAAAAAATGCAATAAATAATGAATTTTTTAAATTAAGGTGTGGAAATTTTTTTTCGAATTTTGAACAATGGAATCGTGTTTCTCGTCTCAAAATCTATAATACTAGTATAATAAAAAAATAAATAGTCGTTTCTTGTCATCAACAGAACTGCAGGGTAGTGCATTTGTCCATGCATACAAATTTCTGCCAGTTTGGGGCTTCACAGCCAAGTGATAATCCAGTTTTTGTTGCTTTGCTGTCGTTGTACTTTCACAAATTGCTTTTTAACTGTCTGGTTGCTTTCGAAATTTCACAGCAAACCGAAAGCCAAAGAATTTTCTTTCTTCTGAATTGATGTTGCTTTGCTTTCGATATCATTCATACCGAAGTCAAAGCACAGCAAAAGCAAATTAAATGAAAAAATTACAGTTTTTTCAAACCCTGCTTATTTTTATTGCTCACTTTATTTCAAACGATTTTTCTTTTGTTTTAAAGATTATAAAGATTAAATTGAGCGAAAACAAAAAGCAAAGCCAACTAAAAGTAAAAGAATCAACATTGAAACGCGTCAAAAGTAAAATAAGGGATCACGAATTTCGACGTGAAGCAAAACTCTTTGGGAAGATAATACCTGTAGATAATTGTACCATGATTCCACCTGTTTTTATGTACCTTGATTTCAACCGCAGAGAGCCAGCTGTAGGAATTTTGAAGCTTGCTAGTATTTTATGAAATTTCTTTCGCTGTCATATTTTTTTGTTTTGGTTTTCACTCAAACCAAAGAAATTTATTTCCGTCCAAGCAACGAAATTTCAATGTTATGTACGTAAATAAATAAATGTAGGAAATTGCATGATACAAAAAAGAAGGTAGTTTCATTTAATGACATTCGTTGTTGTTGCTAACCATTTGACTTTTAATAAAATTATGGCATTTCATCAAATTCATGCTACCTGATTACTGGAAGAAATATATTTTTTTAAGCAGAGATTTTATCAGTACATTCAATATGATGAACTAGAAAATCATGCCGGCTAAATGATTTCGCAAATGGGGTTGACGACTAGGTTTCAGAACGCATGAAGAATGTGTAACTGCAAAACCGCGTAACTGACATTTTTCTCCAAAAATTGGATTTGCTCACNAAGGAAACCGCAACCGAAACCGAAACCGTTACTATTATTTTGACCTGAAAAAGAACAAAACCGAAACCGTTTCAAGCACAGGCTTCAATCGGTTTCCAGAAATTTAAAAAAGTTATAAATAAAAATTTATGTGAAATGCTGAATTAACCAAAATCAGCAATATTTTATTAAAATTCTTGTTAAGTAGTAAGTAAGTATGCAAAGAGCTACTAAAAAGATGCCTAGTAAATTAAATCTCCGATCTGGCATCGGTCATTTGGAAGAAGTTATTTTGATTTTAATTTTTACATGTATAGTTGTAAAGCGCACAGAAACGAAGGGGTTTCCTAATTGTTTAGTAAATATTTGACGAAAATAACAATTATATTTTAGTTTTCATGCATCTTCAATTATACAGCAAAAAGGAAACATTTAAGTGAATCTGGTGATGACGTTGTTGCTGTGTATCTGGTGATGACTTTGTTTGTTAATATTTATCATCAGTGAACTGTTTTTTTTGATTTTCTTTCCTTAACGTTTAAAGCATTGTGATTTTAAATAATATCAACAATATTTCTGTGAAAATCACACTTACTTAATTGTATGTATATCAAATACCTATTAGCAACAACTCTCATTATATAATAAACTAATTTCTGCATTTAGATCTAAACAAATGTGGTGGGATATGGTTATTAGTTTGTATAATTGATTCAGAGGTGTATTCTTTATATAAATTAAAATTAATCACAATGCTTAATTTCGCCAAAAACAAACCTTGGAAGATACATATTTATTTAATGAATTTTTTTTTGTTAAACCTGTTTTAATTTTTTTATTCCAAAACCGAAACCGAAACGAAACCGAAACAAATTTAGAAGTACGATACCAAAACCGAAACCGGAACGTTATTTTGAATCGGTTTCATTCTTTGCTTTAAAGAATGAAAAAATATTTCAAATCATATTATTTTATTTTGAATTTCCTTAGCATTTCGAGAGAGTGTACTTAAAATGCTAGCAAAGGTTAAAAGATCTAATGGCAAGAGAATTGAGCGAGCGGTTGTGCCTTTAGATGTTTTTATCACGATTAAAAGTACACACAGGAGCATGTGCGTCTACCAAACCAGTGTTGTCACTTCAGAAATTAAATTATTGGTAGATTATAAATAAAAACAGTTAGATCTCTGGAAAAGTGTTAGTCGCCTTTCAGACACGACAAGTCTTGCTTTCAAGTTTGCTCGTTCGTTGGTGAAGGAGGTGGGAAGAGAGGGGAAGAGTACAGATACCACCGTACCGTCAATTCGTTTCAAGTTTTCTTGTTCTCTTTTGATCTTTTCGTTGCTTCCCGTTTAAAGAACCAACTAGTTGAATTCAATAAAACTTGATGTGTGTGGAAGCAAAGAGAAAACACAAAAGAGAATGCGATAAAAATTGCTTTCAAGACTTGACGTGTCTGAAAGGGGACTTAGAATATTTGTAGTAACGTAAAAATTTGCCCAAAAAAATATATATATCAAACCATGAAGTAGTATTCAAATGTAGATAAACTGCATTCTTAGTTTTGTTCTATCGCGCCTTTTTCGAGAATGTATTTACCTAGAAAGGTTCTAATTTTTATTGCCTTAGAAGGTACATATATCTTTGTCATAAAAAAGATCTCATTTCTAATTTTTGCAATAAGTTCTTAAGTGTTGTTGTCTGTTGAAATACTCTTGGTAAGCAACTTCCCAGGCGTATTCTCAGGCGAACCTCTAAGAAAATCGCCTGATGTAAGTGCAGATCCACGCACGCAATAAAAATTTTGAAACGGCAGCACCTTCAGCAGCACAAAATTCAAAATATTTTTTTCACATTTAAATTCATATCGAGGAGAAAATCGAGTGTTCAACTCTTATGAAAAATAAAAACATTTTTCAAATTAGGCTAATAATTTCATTTCATTAAAATTGTAATAGTTTTTTTTTTAATATCTGGTAGTTGTGGTAGAAGTGAAAAATTACCCAAAATGTGGTAAATCTGCCACAATTGTGGTAAAGTGCATACATATTTGCTATGAGAAAGTTTTGTATTTTTTAAATGCCCAATACGTAAGTTTAAGCGTAAAATGTGAGGATTTGCTTCATATGCGGGACAAATACGAACTCTGTAAGGCCCACTTGCAGAACATCCAGAGTTAAATATATAAATACAGAGTTCAGTAGCTAAGAGTTAAATTTTTACATTACTAAACCCGACAATGTCTTGCAGCATTGAAAACTGACTCAGAGTTAAGTTACCCGATGGATTGCTAAATTAAGTAGGCACCACTCTCACTTTTTTGACAATTGTTTTGATTTTTTATATTTATTATTTGAAATTAAATATAAAATTTCTATTACAACCACAAAAACTAAAGAATGGCAAATATTAAATAAAATTATATCTCGCTATGGGTTGATCAATACACATGCCTGTCCAAGCACATCAACTTTAAGAGGGACTTCTATTACTTGACCTGAATATGTACTCATTTATGTATCAAATCCACGCCATGGTAGTTGAAAATAACACTGCAGTGCGCATGCGGTCATGAACATCTTCAGCTCATTTCTCTGCAAATTGGCCAGCAACACTTCTTCACTGCACACTTTCGGTGAATTTAAATCGCATATACATACATATTTTTTTACGCAAGACTGACCGAAACCTCGATTTGAAGGCGGAAAAATGAATACGTGCATATGTGTGTATGTGTGTATGTAAACATGTGTTCAAAAATATTTTTTAAATTTTTTAAGTCTCAATTTTATTATTCTTGTTACTGACAGAATTGACATATGTAGAGTTAGCAAGTTAACCTTCGAAAATTGCTGAGCTAGATATTTTAGGACTTCACTTTAATTTTACACCCAACCATTGATT